AGAGTGGAAGGCTTCTTTGGTTTTCCTTTGAATGGAATCACCATTAGGCTGGTAGGTAGACTCTTGGTTCAGGAACTGAAAATGAGTCTAGGACTTGATGTGTTAGGAAGATAACAGAATAAAGGAGATATGAGTCAATTACAGATTCTGAGACAAACTCGAAGCTTTTTTTCTGCGCTTCGATTGCCAAGAATAAATAGAGAGGCCAGAGAACTGCAAGAGAAATGAGCAGACAGACTCCTTTAATGAAGGACATGGGAAAGTGCTGAGAATCATGCAGGAAACTCTATCGGTATGAAAATAGACTCTTACGGTAGAGCCTCTGGAGCACAATACTGCTGGGTGAAGGGCACTTTCAGGGGAAAAATGCCTAAGTAAGAAGTATCATTTTCACATAGAAATATATCATTTTTATAAGGCTGAAAAGAGATTATATATAGAAATTATCAGTTCTAATAATTTCAGGCTCAGAGGATCCTGCAAAGAATTTTCTAAAAGAATTGGGGACTTGATATTTCAACTGTTGAGCCCTTAGAGCAGGAAGAATTGCCCTTATTTTCACAGTGATCATTATTCCTGTGTCTTCTCTACGACAGGTAATGACTTCGTTAAACAAACTTAGACAGGTCTCCTTTTTTCATGGAAGGATTGCCTAACAGTTAGGATAATTTGTTGGCACCGGACAATATCATATGCTTCTTCCATGAAGAACTTGGTCCTAAGGCCTTGCCAGAACTAGAACTCTCCTTGGAAATTCCAAAGATATTTAGATTTTAACTGCCATGACCCCAATGAGTGGCCAACCCTCTACTCAGAATGAAACAAACACTTTCACACCTTCTCCTTGATAATGACAGAATGAAAAGTACAACCCCTTATAATGAGCTGGGATTTAGATTTTAATCCCCTTTGAGTCCTCTTTCTAAATAAGCTTTTTTAGTTCTAGTTTGGATGAAAACTATTTTATAATGAGTTTGGAAGGGATATTAGAGTCTCACTGAAGAATGCACATGCTATGCTAACATCTACCTACTCCTAGAAACAAGTTTCAAGACAGTTTCTATCTGTTTGTACTTTCAGAAAAGATAAGGCAAGGCCTACAAAATCCATTTTCTGAAGGGTTTTTGGGATAAGTACCAAAAAGTCTTATAAATCTTTTTATTCAGACTCATAAACTATTCTTTCTATTCACAAAATAAGTACCACTAAATACTTTTTATCATACATTTAAGGGCTGAAGAGACGGCTCAGTTTACTTGCTGCCAAGGTAAACAACAGAAGTTCAATTCCTGGGACCTGCATGGTGGAAAGAGAGAATTAATTTCTGCAGGCTGCCTTTTGACCTCCATACACATTCAGTGTCATATTGATAAATTAATGAATGCAGCAAAACCTTTTAAAGTGAACTTTTTATTTATTAATAAACAGATATTAGCAAATGCTGACAATATCTTGTCCTAGCTCCTACAAAGACTTTCCTTTCATCTGGGCTCACTTTGAGACAAAACTCTTTTGGTTGTGCAGCTTTTTTGGTTCCTCCTGTTTTTAGTCTTCACCAGAAGCCTCTAATACAGATGCTTCAACTTTGGGTACACATGATTTTCAGTGCTTTTATAATGATAGTCTAAACACTGTCTGGTTATTGGTACAGTTTTGAAGGCTTAGCTTAGACTTTTTCTGAAATGCTTTATTGTGGAAAGTTTCAAATGCACATCAAAGTAAAAAACATTTTATGGGACACACTGATACTCCCACTACCTGAATCTGCCGTTAGCACTTTAATCTACTTACTCATCAAGTATCTATGCATTTACCACTCTCTTTTCACCCATCAATATTTTTAAAGAAATTATCTCCAAATTAACTGCACAGAAGATTGTAGCCTTTCTAACACCAACAAAACTCATTTTCAGAATCTCAGCTCCTGCAACTTAAAAAGTGTTGTTTTCTAACCCAGCTGTGGTTTAGAGAGATACTGATCACTCGAGTCTCTTTCAGGAAATTCTTGCTTGCTTCTGTTTCTCAGAACACAGTGAGATCCAGGTATGTTTTGCTGGATGGAGCTGATTTTATTTTTCTTTTTAGTCTAAGATCCACCTAAGCACCCTTGAAGCAAATGGCAATGTTTACTGAGCAAAGAGACCTGGTTACCGAAAATGGTGAGCAGCGGTGCCAGGAGGAGTCATCAGCTCCTGTGTCAGCATGTTGTTTCTGCTCCCAAGATGTGAAAAAGCTCTGTGCAGTGAAGGAGTTGTTCCTGGAGATCATGGTCCAGCCTTTGAGAGATTTCACACCAACAGTTACTTATATTGCTCATTTATTTAGTCTCAAGTATGATTAGGGAGGATATTCAGGGAATTACGTAGAGTTAAAACATTATTGATCCAAAACTAAAGTATGGAAGGTGTTTATTTACAAATTCATATGAAGTTCATTTACAAGATGTTCGTTTACATTAACGCAGAATAGCTCCTTAAAGATGGGTTGGAGTTCCTACTTGATCATGTCTTGGCTTGCTGGTAAAACATAGAACTTTGTGTGTATCCAGATGCTAGAGTGTTTTGAGAAGCAGAGACAAGCTAGGGCTTTCTGTAAGAGGCTGACCCAGGAACAGATCCATTTCAGAGTATACTACTCTGTACCCTGAAGGTGTTATGCTGTTCCTGTGTCTAAATGATAAATAGCAACCAAGTCCAAGAGTATTGCATATAGGGAGCAAGGTAGTAAACCATGGTACTAAGTGATGGAGTGTGTGTCATAGATGTCCTGAGAGCACAATGGACAATGTAGCTTGCTCTGCTCTAGAGAAGAGGGGCTTTTGCTAAGTTGTGGAATACTTAGAGGCACTTAGACTGGGAGGATTCATAGACTACCGACTGGTGAAAGCTAGCTATTTGCCATCTATCTAAAGTGCAGCAAAAACTGCAAGTATATAATCAAAACAGAAGGGAACTTTGTTCCCACGTTGCGTGGGGAAAATTGTTCTAGAGTACATCGGTCAGAACAGTTATCATCAAGCAAATGGAAGAGAACAAATGCTGTCAAGGATGATGGGGAAAGGAAGCCTTACTCACTATAAGTTCGAGTGAAAACTGAAACAGCAACTATGAAAATCAGTATGGGGCTTCCTCAGAAAAGTAAAAAGAGAATACAATATGATCTAATCATACCATTGCTGGACACTAACTCAACACACCTCAGAGATACTGGCACAGCCATATTTATTGTTGTTCTGTCTCCAGTGGCTAACAAATGGAACCATCCTGGATCTCCATCAACAGATACAAGGATAAAGAAACTGTGCATATGCACAATAGCACTTTATGTATGCACAGAGAAAAGTGAAACCATGTCATTTCAGGTGAAACAGACAACCTGGAAGTCATCATGTTAAAGAAAATTGGCCAAACTCAGATGGACAAACAGTTTTTGTTTTACTTCATATGCAGGTTCTAGTTTTAGGTCATTAAATGATTGTGCATTTTAATCTGTACACTTATACATATGTGTGGAGAGCGAGTCCTAAAAGCACAAAGGGGAAGAAGAGATATTAGGAGAAGGAGGAAGGGAGAAACTAGGGAACATGAAGTAGAGAGAGAGCCTATTTGGGGATGACAAAGAGTAGCATCAAGTAAGAGAATGAGGACAGGGGAGAACAGTGGGAGAGGATGATGAATAAGAACAAATTAAAGTGGTTTCAATGGATAAAAATGACCTAAGGAAACACTATTTCCTCTAGTAACTTAAATCTAAATATAAAAAAGAGATCTGCTTTCACTTCAAGTCAGATGGAATGTCACTGGGGGTTATGGGATGTCACCGGGGCTTCTACACAGATGAAGATCAAGAACGTGGACATCAAAGCCTCACAGTAACTACAGGGATGATAAAGGGAGAGGGTGGCCAGAGGATGATCAGGACAGGCCTTAGGGTCTTTCAATACAATGATGGCTTGCTGTCACTCCAAAGACTGAGCATCTTAAATAAGGCCACTTCGCTAGTGACTAAAGGGACTATAAAATGACAGATGGTGGTTTCTGGTTCATAGTATCAGAAGTGTTTTCGTGAATAAGTGCAGGAAGCGAACGTGTAAGCACCCATTTTGAGCAAACTTATTTCAGTGCTCCAGGACCTCCATCCCACCGCCCCCTATGCAGCATGTATTCGGTCGACCGTAGCTGAGAGGTTTGTAGCACGTCAGGAGCCCACGACTTAAGGCAGAGCAAACTATTTGAGAAAAACTGATTCAATGATTTAAACAAATGCCTTGGCGAAAAATTTGAATTCAGCCTATGAAAAATTAGTATTAAATTGGAAACCAGCCTATCCTTTCTGCCAATACAGAACACTTGATGTGCAAGAAACACACATTTTACTTTGTAGTGAATTATTTTCTCTTTTGCTTCTGTAGGAGCTAGCACTCACAGGTTGGTGTGACTGGTGATATCCTGCTCAGCTAAACTCAAGAAAAATCATATCTGTAGGAAACAGGAAATCGAGCTGTCAAAAAAGAAAAAAAAATCAAGTGACTTAACTGCTCAGGGAAATACAATCGGTTTGTGGCAGTTAGGCTACCAAAGAAAGGCTAGGTTTGCCCCAGGCATTCAGTGTAGGAGCGGCTTCCTCCAGTGGGAGGAACTACCTTTAGAGGAAGAAGAATAATTTATACGCATAGCAAGGCTAGTCTTCCCAACATCTCAGTCACCATCTGCTTACTTGGGACATCCTGGGAAATCCCTGTTACATGGAAGCCGATAGAAGTTTAAAAAAAAAAATCACATTTCTCCTCTTGCATCCTTCCTCTGTGTGATTAGCATACAGACTCACTTCTGCTCCAGTCTAACGGGAACTTCTTGTTATTTCCTACTGTGAGTTAACACATAGGCTGTTCAAAGTTTGAGTACTCTCATCCTGAAAGGAACCACGAGAGATTTTCTTTTTCTCCTTTTCTTTCTACTTTAAAAGACTCTCAGGAAAGCAGCTTTCTTGTCTTCCAGGATATGGCTGGACTGAGCACCACAGCAGCTTACATGAAGCATGCAGAGGTAAGAACAAGTGTCAGGACGAGGGGGCCACAAACAGAGCCAAGAACATAGTTGGATCCTGGGACAGATGATTGAAGAGCAGCAGTAGTCAATCCACTTTCTTCAATTAAGAAATGCACTGTATATTATTTGACATGTTAACCCGTATTATTTGACATGTGAAAGGTCACTGGTGGCTGTTGCACTGCCTTGGAACTCACTGGGTTGGGCTGCTTCTACTAAATGACAAGATCATATCTGCACAGATTTCGTTCCCTATGCTATGTGCTTTTACATTTTGTTTTTATGTACAATAAGTTAGTTCCAAGTAAAATAAAAAAAGAATACTGTAAAGATGTGGTTAGAAATAGGACATTTAGTGGTAAAGGACATAAAATATTAATATATGCAAATGATGCTATAATTTTGTTCAGTTACTATGTTCACTATTTTAATGAATTAATCACTGCGTTTCTTAGTTTTGTTATATTTTCCTTCGTTAATTTGAACATGTGCACACACGTGTGCCCCAGAGTGACTGAGAAGGCCAGAGAACTACACCCCAGTTCGCCCCCTCCTTCTACTGTGTGAGTCCCAAGGATCAAACTCAGTTTCTTGTTTCTGTGGCCTGTGCCATTACCTGCTGATCCAACTTGTTCAATTACCTAACTTTCTTTATAAAATAATTAACCAAGGCATAATGAGAGACTAAGTGGAATTCATTTGTTTGTTTAGATATTTAATTTGCTGTACCAAAACTCAAATATCTTAGCAGTTGACTTGGATGTTTTGATAGGAGAAAAAATATCTAGACATTTTTAACAGACTGCATTTCACAGAAAATAATAAGGAATTGTTTAGAAGGAATGATATTTCATAAGTAGGCCCTTCCTTGAACCCAGTGACTATCTTTGTATTTACTGTGATATCAGATGCCTTCGCTAGTTTTAGAAAAACTGAAAAGAAAAACAAATGCACACAAAAACTTACTCCGAATATGAATGACCAGCTTTGTGACTGATTGACTGTGCTAGGCTTTAATATGTGCCTGAGGCATACACACCCTGGCATGGTGCTGATTAGGCTCTCTAGAAACGCCCGGTGATAGATTTCCACAAACTCTAGCCCTGTGTTTTCTGTCTTCTCTTCTCAAGGCTCCAGGTATAGTTACTGTTTCAGAATCTCAGGCATTAGTGCTCCTCTGGTTACAAGTAGACTTTCTTAACATTTAGTATAGAAACCTTACTTATAACATAAAAGCCAAGAGCCTGTGTCTGTCTTTCTTTCTTCTTCTTCTTCTTCTTCTTCTTCTTCTTCTTCTTCTTCTTCTTCTTCTTCTTCTTCTTCTTCTTCTTCTTCTTTTATTACAGGAAATTGCTTGGAGGTTGGAGGATGCATGGGACAGCAGAGCTAACTAACACCATGCAAATGTTTGCTATTCACAATTTTTTCATCACAAATAGGAAGATTTTTGAGGACCTCAAGTTCACATTTCTGGGCATGATGTTGCATTTTAGGGTACTTAACCGGTAGCAGGAATTGTGAATTCCAGGGCTGGTGTAGCCTTCCAGGTGTTTTCACACTTTACAGGGTCTCCTGTAATGTGGTCAGGCTGTTGGGCCAAATCACTAGAGGAGAATCAACCTCAGGGAATATCTGCCTTGCTGAGTTCAGAGCATGCTGGGTCGGATCAGCTTGTAGCACTTTCCAGATCAAAGACACTTTGTGATTAGTCAATTCTATTCTGGGATGGGCCCAGTTTCTTAGACTTATTCCCCCTAAAGGGAAAGTCCAATAATAACGGCAGGCATGGCTGTCACTTAGATTTTGATGTCACATTTCTGAATTAGCCAAATGACTTCTCGAGGTAATGAACTAATGTAAACAGCTTGTTCATTGACAACAGAAGACTGTTCTGAAACTGTGGTCTGATGAAAACATGACTCTAAATTAGGAGAAGTTAAAAAAGCAAAGAGCATCCATTTTGTATAAAATGTTATCAAACCCTGAAACACTGAGACATAAATAAGTTAGAAAAATAGTTTTATTAATTGTTTCCAATGAAAAGAAGTTCTTGAAATGCGAAGATGATTGCCAAACAGTCACTTCCTCTAACCACATTTGGTAAAGACCAATAAGCCTGGACAATATTTCCTGGTTGTTCATGAATGGCTTCTAGCGTTGTGGTTCCTGGTAACTATTGTGCCTGAAGCTGAGAACATAATTCAGGAGGTCTCTGATCACCCAGTTCACTGACTTGCCAAATGACTTGAATGGCCTGGATGTAGACTGCTGCGTTATAGTAGGGAAGCAGTCCTTTCTATAAACGTTCTTGGGGGTGCTCATTTTGCTAGATAGCAGATAGGTAGAACTTTGACCTTTTCTTTGAATTAGTATCTCAGTCCCTGGAGGAAAGTAACTGAAGACATAGGTTATTAGTTCTTGTCATGCCAATAATTTATTATTAGTCTAAACTGATGTTTTAGTACCCCACTCAAAAAGCCTCACTAAAATACAAAGAGTCAGATAATCTCTACCCAGTTCTACAACATTCTTGTGTAATGGCCATAGAGGTAGTAAATTTATTCACACTTCGTAATCAATTTGATGCATTATGGCTGTATGTGTTGGTCTTGTCAGTTTCAATTTATTAGTGAATTGTTTCAGTAATTAATTAAAATAAATGAGCAGTAGATAGTATATTAGGCTGGTACATCAGCTTGTCACTGTGATGAGTTTTTTGTGTATTAAGTTCTAGGACTCAAACTCAAGGCCTTGTGCATGCTAAGCATACAATACAAAGATACATATCTCCAACTCCCATAACAAATATTTTTACAAAACACAAGATTTGGCTAGTTGAATGAGGTTTGAGGAACAGAATCTCTTCTGTTTATTTTATAGACTGCTTAATCTCAATCTTTTTTTTTTCTTAATTAAAGTGTGCTCCATCAAGAAGAAAAGACTTGACAAATTCTCTTGAGCAAAAGATAAAGCACTTGGAAAAACAGAGACAAGAGGTAATATTAGATAAAGATATTAGATAAAGAAGAAAGATATTAGAAAGATATTAAATAAAGTCATGTAGCCATGTATTAAGACTGAGACTAAATAAGGTATCTTTAATCCTTTTATTACTACCATTAAATAACAGTATTTATCGCTAGAATACTGGACTACACTATTTTAAAAAGAAAAAAAAGCCTTTAGAAATCATGTTTGTGCTATGACAAATGAAAAAATTGTTAATGTCACAAATGTGGTAGTTATAACCCTACTTTCACAATTGTTGGTATTTCTTCTATGTACACCATAGGAGCTTATCCTTTATGATCTTGTCAACTGGCACATGATGAAATTTGATTTGTTAAACGCTTATGTGCAGTGGATTTAAATTCAGTGACTTCCTAGTTGAGCACCTAAATGAATGTGTGTTATAAAACCCTGTCTCAGGGGCTGGAGAGATGGCTCAATAGTTACGATACTTGTTGCAATTACAGAGGACTCAAATTCAGTTCCCAGTACCCACATGATGGTTCATAACCATCTCTAACTCTAATTCCAGGGGATTCTATGGCTTCTTCTAACTTCTGAGGGCACCAGGCATAAATGTGGTTCACATACATACATGCAGACCAAACACCCACACACATAAAATAAAAATTAAAAGTTAATCTTAAAAACAAAAGCACACAAAGCACAGTGCCTTAGAAAAGAGATACTTTCTGAAATGTTACTAGAATTAAGAGATGCTCCTAGTTGCACTGTTAGGGTCCTCTTCTTTTATGGGTGTTAGAACTCGTTCCTCTTCTTGACAGAGAAAGTGCAAAGCAAAGCGATGTATCATACACATGAATTTTGTGGTTTGTTTGCTGACTCATTTGGTGCATTTCATCTTCCTTTTTCTGTTCTTCAGCATGTTCTCCTCCCCTTTGACTCTGGGGAGTCCTGTGTCCTTCTGGAAATCACTAAACTATTGCAGCACGCCACTATGGCATAGTCCTGCATGGCAGTGGGACCAAGTGTCTTCACAGACTGTTGTACAGCCAGATACTAACCGTAAGAATTTTCCCCACCAGAGTTAGCTGATGACTGCCACTCTGAATTAGGTCCTTTCATTTTTGTTTTTATTTAGGTGAAAGTCTTGTTGTTTTTGTTTGCTTTTTGGTTTTCGGGTTTGTTTGTTTTGGTAGACATATCTTCTTGATGTCTGCCTCATACTGCAAACTGTCAACATTTTTTTTTCAACACAGAATTGTGAACTTTTCTTACAAGAAAATGAAACACACATCAAGATCTTATTTTTTCTTCTAGTTAGTAGAGCATTTCTAATACTCTCTTATGACAAATACCATTAATTCCAAAAATCCATATATTTTTCTTATTTATTTATTTGCTTGTTCATTTTATATCCCTATCCTAGCCTCTCTCTCTTCTCCTCCCACTCACACCCTCCCTTCCTTTTTTCCATATCCCCCTTCCTACTTTTCAGAAAAGGAAGCTGAAGCTCCCCTTCCCCAACCTACTGGAGCTAATTAAGTCGTATCAGGACTGAGTGCATCTTCTTTCCCTGTGGCCTGGTGAGGCAGCCCCACCAAGGGAAAGTGATGAAAAAGTAGGCAACAGAGTCCCTGTTGGAGACAACCCTTGCTCTCCTTACTAGGCAACCCACATGGAAACCCAAGCTGCCCATTGACTACCTCTGTGTAGGGGGGCTACAATTTCACCCAAGAGGAATAAAAAAATATGTATACATACTAAAGCTTGTCACTGCAAGCAAATAACTACCAATTAATAGACTTTGGACTTCAAGATCAATTCTTTGAAAAGTTACCACAAGAATTAATTGTGGTAGAAGTAGTAAACAAACAGGAAAACTATGGAAGGATAGCCAGTATGCAGTTGAATTGGAGTCTGTGACAAAGGGAGTTGAACATAGACTTAAGCAGTAGGAAGAGAAACTCCCAGGGAAGGACTTAGATACACTCGGTAGTGTGGGTGTGGGCTTCCTGAAGAAGAGCTGGGCTTATTGTCCTAGAGGTAGCCATGTATACTATTTTGGTGACTCAAGTTACAACCCACAGAGCTGCATAGAATCACTTTTCCCCTTCTTGTTTTGACAAGCAAAGTGACAGGATGCCTTCTGAGGGCTATGCACTGATAAAATAAACAATGGGTCATAAAGTTTGTCCAAAAAAAAAGACAAACCTTTTGCTGTAAATGGAGTTTCTAGTGAGATTCCTAGGCAACTGTAGGTTTACAGCTGGGAAAAGAGGAAAGCCATTTAAACTCAGGCCTTGAGCATGGCTGTTTTAATAATCTTACTTGAAACCTTTCTATGTAAAAGAAAATCCGTCTTTATAAAGACCTCTTACAGCAGACATTGGATTCTTGACTTGGCTTAGCTGATGAGGGGCTTCCACCAGACTCTGAGGTGAGGGGCTCCTCTCTTTGAAAGCCCTTTTTAGCCGACCTCTAAACCATCCCAGCCCAACCAGAGCTTTCTAGGAGTGCTGCCTTCATACACAGCTTCAAAAATCTCAGAGTTTCAACACTGATCACGTATTTCCAAAACTTCCAGATGGGCAGAAATCTTTTGTTGCATCACCAAATTTTAATAATTTCAGCTCTTGGAAGTCAATCAACAGTGGGACCAGCAATTCCGAAATATGAAGAAGTTATATGAAAGAAAGGTAAGAAACTCTTCACTTAGGATTTTCTTTAATCCTGGGAGAGCCACAAGAGAATTTGTGGATTCCTATCTACAAGCAAATGAGGGAGAGAGTTCCACCATCACCATCGGTCTCTTGGTCCTGATAATACAATGTCAGTCAGTTGCTGGAAATGTAGTCTGGGTTTTTTCCCAAGAGTTGCTGTGAGTATGCCCGGCTCTGAGTTCTTATTGCCAAGTTAAGGTTGAGGCCCAGTCAGTGCAAAACTGGTGAGCGAATCAGCTACCTTCCATTCACAGAGAAACAGTGGTAACTGCCAGAGTGGAAGGGAAATGCCCCCTTCCACTTTCTCTAAGGCATATGCATTTGGAGAAGCTTTTTAGCCAAAAAGGAACCTTATGGGGAAATTTTTCTTTAATAAGTTAAAGTTGTTATTATTTGAAAGCACTCCATTTTCAAAAAGACAGAAGGAAGTAAATTCCCCTAAATAATTCAGATTGAAGAAAACACACCACAGTAATGCAATAGCCCTTGCTTTTTCTTCCTCATTTGATACCAGAAGAGCAAAATTTAGAAGCAGGAAGAAAGCATTCCACACATCAGTCCAGCCACCTTGTTCTGTCTATCCTGGACTAGTCCAAATTTTAACAATCATGTTCCCAGGAAGAATGCTTCCGCAGCTTCCCAGAGTGGCCAGTGAACCTAGAGAAAAGAACAAGTACAATCATCAAACTGAAGAAAGCACCATGACGAAGGCTCTCACTCAGAGGTCTAATTTGTCAGGAGGTGGGGTGGCAGATTCCCAGGCCTGGATGGTCGTACCAGCTTCCTGCCTGACCACCTGCAGCTTTTTCTTGCCTACACCTCTTCTCCACCCATTCCCAGCCCCTCTGAGGCCTGGCACATCTGGAGAGCTCAGAGCCCTGACTTCTTCTGTGCTCTGGCTTCTCCATCTTCTGGAAGCAGGAGTCATTTGGAGAAAAGAGGGCTGAGCAGGACGCCATTTGGAGTAAACTGTATGCTTTCTCTATAGAGCAAGCACCCTTTAAAATGGAAACCTGCTGATATACTTTCGGGAAGAGCTCTTCCTTGGGGGACTTCCTGAACAGGGTGGGGTGGGGTGCTTCTTTCTGATCTCAAGTGTACTGGGCCAGACCTCTGGTGTGATAACTGCAACTGTCTCCCATGACTCCCTCAGGTCCTGGAGCTGAAAACTAAGCTGGCTGCGGCAGAAGTCACTCACACCCTTGAGAAGGAGCAGAAGCAAATCATGGCAGAGGGCGACAGGCAGCTTGAGGTGGGTGGTCTGCGACTGGCCTCCGGTTGAGCAAGGTATGGTTGTGAAAACCAGCTCCCAAAGGAAGCATAGGCAGGCACAGTGCCCGGCAAAGTGCCACACTCCCAGGGGGTGTGTGTCAGTGCTGGGAGTGTGCCTCCAGTGACCATGCAATGAGAAGCGAGTTGATTGGGTGAGAGCCTTGCAGAGTCTTGCAGCCTCTCCTGTGACTTTTATTGCTAATGACAGAGTCTCACTAAATTTCCCAGCAGTGTTAGCGCTCTTGCCCAGGATTGGTTACTGTCCCCAGGCTGGCCTTGAACCTACGATCCTTCAGCCTAAGTATCCCAAGTGCTGGCGTGACAGAAGCACTTCACCACACCTGGGTAAACAGAACACTTTAAAAATCACTTCACAATCATCATCTCCTTCACTATCCCAAGCTTAGCCTTGAGCCAGTCAGCAATAAGAATATAGGGACCAGAACCCTCGCTCCAGGCTGTAGGGACAATGAGAGGGGTTTTTCCTGATGCAATCTTTTCCTCAGTCTTGGGCTTTATATGATGAGGTATGATGAGGAGAATATTAAATTCTAGTGACCTTTCTCTGAAGCTATAGTAAGAGTTGAAGCAAGTGTAAGTATTCTCAAGCTTAGGCTTGCCACTGTCAGGTATTGGCAATGCAACTAAATGGGCAGAAGTCCGACGTTACTGTTAGCAGGGCTTCTAGGGTGAGAGTCTGTCCTGGGGTCCCTGACAAGCCGGACTCAGCCACTGTTCTCAACAGGCAAATTAAAGAGACAATTGTGAAAAGCTAAGAAAGGAAGTTGAGTCCCTGTGTACCCATATTAGGAAGAACACCAAAAAAGAGGTCCAGTGACCTCCAAATTCACCTTCACGGATAAATAGAGGTCAAGAGGTGTTCACACTGAGGAGTCCTGGTGAAGACGTGGTTCTGGCTGCGTACTGACCAGTCATTGTCCTGCCTCAGTCTGCCCTGCAAGCTGGTAGGACAGTGACAGGACCCCTGAACTCCCTTTGGCTGGCAGGAGGCTTCATTCCCAGAATGAGATTCCTGGGGGAGATCCCAAATCCTTGGGGACCTTATCTCAGTAGTCTGAGTGTCTCTCTTAGTCTTTTCGCTCCTGCCAGGAGCAGTACCTACCACGTCATAGTCCAGGCTTGCCCACCGTACTCAGGTTACTGTCAGGATGAACCAGGAAACAGGGTTGTGACAAGCCCTTTCTGCCATGCAGTACACGCTCCACTTCCTTCTCCACCTACACCCTAGTCAGGAACTTCACCAAGTCTTTTCCTCATGTACTCGGGAATATTTTCTCAATGTAACGTAATAACATGTTCTTAACCTCTGCTAAATTAGAAAACGACTGAGTCATCTTAGCGCATAGGCTCAGCCTATTCAAGTAAGTGCTAATGAGATGCTTTCACCTTGAAAGAAAACAAGTTGCCTAAAATTGATCCCTTCAATTTAATACCTAGATTGGGATGTGATGAAAATAACATTTGAACCCCTATTTACCTGCTTCTCATCTCAAGTTACCTTTGTTCTGCAGTATTGATTTTTCTAGGCTGGATTCTCAGTAAGGATCCAATTTACTCCACAGAATTTTGCTATCTGTTTTATAAAGCGAAGGTGTGAACCAGGGCCCTCACTCATGTGGAACAGTGAGCTGCTGGGAGATTGTCTGAGGCATGTTGGCGGGGCAAGGCTGGATTTCTGCCTTTGAGCAGTAGCTGTGACAGTGCTATGCCAGTATTTATCTGTAGTGAAGGTCTTTATTTGTCTAGAACTTATTGTCCTTGTTTCTGGTATTGAATGGTGCAGTGTTGGCCTTGAGGTGTTTAGTATCAGTTTATTGCGATGCTTACACTCCCCCCCCCTTAGGCCTTTTAAATGTTTTTAACCAGTCCTCCCTTAGAAACAGGACTGTTCCTCAGACTATTGCATTGAGGATTAGGGTTTTTAATTCCTTCCGCCCCCGGGACCACCACAGGAGCATTAAGTAACCCTGTCCTCCACTGGAAGAAAATTGCTCAAAAGGAACATTAGAGAAAACCTTGCAGCTCTTGTTTGCTTATGTTTGGGAGACGACTGCCAGAAACAACCGGTCTCTTAGGATTTCTTTCCTTCCCTTTCCCTTTGGTAATTTTGATTTGGGTTGTGTTTTCTTGTCCTTTTCTTCAGAAGGAAAACAACAGCCTAAGGGAAGAATTACAAGCACTGAAGAAGGAGAACAAGCTGTTGAAGGAAAACAATGCTCTGGCAAATAGGAAGAAAGAACATTATGCCTGTGAAATTAAACGACTCAATAAGGTACCGGATCAGAGATAGCAGGGAGGGTCACCCCTGACTCTCCCCCAAGGCCTCAGCTGGAGTCCTCCTGAATTACAACAGGAGTGTGACCACAGTGTGGATAAGCTTGCATCTGATGAGGATGCAAGCTTGCTTTACATGGACCACCTAGCCACAGCATGTAGCCATATTTGGCTGGGACGCGTTAGGAAATTTTTGTCCTTGCAGTGGGCCATGAAAAGGAGAAATGAAGGGAAATTACAGACGTCAGTGAGAACTTTTTTTTTTTTTTTTAAAGAACCACACAGTGGCACTGGGTGTTTGCGAACAATACGTATCTCTTGGTCAACCACAAAAGCTTCCTGAGGAAGCAAGCTGTGCCTTAAAGGGATGGCTACAGAGCGAGGTGTGATGCATGCATGATGTATGGATGCATGCCAAATTCAAGGCTGAGATGTCTGATGTATGGGGTGAGTGGGAGCCTGCAGCAGGGCTGTGGGGGCACACCAGTGGCACAATAACTAAGCTCAGAAGAGAAACTGAACTGCGGTAAGAGAAGGACAGTGAGTGCGTGAATGTGGGCACACGTTTGTATATGTGTATATATGTGTATAGTGGGTATGCATGTATGTGTGTGTATGTGTGTATTATACATGTGTGATGTATGCATATAATATGTGTATATATGTGTGTGTATGTGTATATGTATATGAGTATATGTATAAGTGTGTATATGTGTGTATATGTACATGTGTGTATGCATATGTATGTGGGCATATGTGCATATGTGTGTATGTATATGTGTGTGTGTGTGTTGTTTCATGGACTGATGTGATATCTGGGGGAGTGAGAATACTAGCTTGGCACAAAAACATAAGTCCTATACTGTTGCTCATCCAAGAGCTAAGCCAAGTGTAAACACAGGCATGTTGAGCTGTGTGGATGAGCTAAGCTATGCGTCACTCATTTAGGTATTTCATGACCAAAGTCACAGAAATTATCTGCAACAAGAGAGAGTAGATGAATGGCCTTTAAAATGTGCTCAGTCCTATAAGCTTGGACTGCGTGGCAGCTCGCGCTGAGAGGTGCTGTGTATAGCCAGGTGAGCCGCATGCTGGTTCCCTGGCAGGATGCTTCCAAACCAGATTTGGTATTAGGTCTGCTTATAGCACGAGTCATTCTCCAAGAGAAAGCAGAAAGGCAAAGAAGGCTGCATAAACTGTATTTTACCCTTTAGAGAGAAAGAAAATGTTCAGGGCAAATATCTGTCTTTTTTTCTTTTATCCTCTCCTAGAAAAATTACTCCTCAAGAATCAGAAGGAAGTAGGTTAACTGTGATTACATTTAAAGCCCTAGTTCATTTTGCCTAAAGAAGGCAAAAAAGAAAAAAAAAAAGAGTTCAATTTGCCATATGAAAGCAAAACAACAATAAAACAGTTCAATTTGCCATAAAGGCAAAAACAAACAAATAAATACATAATCCCCCCCCCCAAAAAAAACAAACCAAAAACCAAACAACAAAAACCAGCTGCATATAAACATTCAAGAGTTTTGTATTTTGGTTCATTTCCATGTACACATGTTATTTTTCTGTGTTGGTGATTATGGTTGACAGAGTATCTTTAAATTCAAGGAAAAGCCACGTGTGTTGCACATCAGTAATCTCAACTTTCGGGTAGATTTATCGCAAGTGCAGGCCAGCCTGCTTTCTATAGCAAGCTCCAGGCCAGGCAGCCGTATCTCCATAGGAAAATGTAACTTTGCAGTTTGGTACGTAAAAACATAAAATCTCATTAAGAAAAAAATAATCCTAACAAAATCTGTGTCTTTACACAGGTATGACCTTTTCAATATTTTTCTTCCCACATGACTAAAATTATATGCCCTCACCCTGGATACAACCTACTTTAATTTTTTTCATATTTATGACTGCTCCCCAGTATGTAACAATCTCTAACATCACCATCCTTTCTCTATTGATCCACTGTTGGTTATGAGCTCCTTGATGTAGGCCTGGGCATGTTAGAAACACTGGTTACCAGAGTAAATACAATGTGTGATCACAGTGCATGTAAGGGTTTAGAGATGTACCTTGTTTCTCTTTAAAGTAGAAGAAAAATCGTTTTAGGTTAAAGACATATTATATATTATGTATAATATTATATTTATAGAAACATTATACAGTTATATAGCAAAGCAGCTGTAAAATACAGTTTCTCTGTGTCTTCATGGAAGGAAGGCTTGGTAAAACAAGTCAGTCAGCCTTAACTTTTACTACTTTGGTCACTGACATTTCTGGAGTGTTTAGGACGCGGCCTTTGTCACACAACGTTCTTAAATCTTTATTGAGTGGTGAAAGGATGAATGAATGATTTACTTAATCAGTTTAATTAGTAAGTCTACAGTATATGTATCAACTAATTTTTCACCTTAGAGCCATCACTAAGGTATCACATTAGTATAACACATAATTTATTGTCTATGATTAATGATAAAGAACATAAAAGAATACTTAAAATACATAAAAGAATACTGAAATCACAAGGGGCGCAGATCCCTGACACGGTTATCTATGCAGAAGATTATTTTTTCTTTAACCATAGGAAGAAAAAGCAATGCACAAGTTAAGCCGGTAACAGTTTGCTTTCATCCTACTCTGCTCCACCGAAACTGTCACTTAAAAGCCTAGATGTAAAGTCATAATGAGATGTACATCATTAATATTACTATTATTACTATTGAACTTAAATTTCTTCATTTTTATTTTTATGTGTGCTTGTCTGTCTTTATGTGTACGGTGTGTATGCACTCCCCTCAGACTTCAGGGCACTAGATCTCCTGGAGCTGAAGTGGCAGGTGGTTGGGTGTGGGGGCTCTCCCAGGCGCCCCAGGCATCGTGGCCATCAGTTCCCTAGGATGAAGGGAGCAGAGGTAGTGGGGAGGCGGTGAGCACAGTGGGAATGAACCTCAGGAATCAGCTGCAGGGAGACAGATCAACTTTCTTCTGGGGGTGAGGAGACTATACAGACTTTGGGGAGGGGTGGAGAAACTGGGGTGGATGAAGGTCATTGGCTGAGAGGCTAAGTGCTGAGATTCCTCATCAGCATAGGGAAGTAGTTCAGGAATCTCAGGTGCTTGCTGATGGGAGTTGGACCTATAGTTACTCTAAGGGCTACTGACATTCCTCAGGTAAAGGGTATGGGGTTTGGAATACCTCCAGGCAGAAAAGGGAAAGCTTTGCCTACAAAGGGAGTCCGAGAGTCTGCTATGCCATTTCGCACCAAGCTCAGAGAGTTCTGGTAATGTCAGACTTCAAACTTAGCAGCAGGGTTTCCTGACATATTTCCCTATTTTATTTTATAATGGAGAGCGGTCACCATGGCCCCAAACCGTCCCTTAAGCTGGGGACGGCTTGGTATTGAACTGGAACTCATTTGGCAGTGATTTTTGCAATGCTCCTATCTGCTGTTTTAAAAATTGGAAGAGAAACGGTATTAGCCTCAAGGCACAGCGCAATCAGAGAGCTAATGAAGGGGTAGGGGCTAGGAAAGCAAATTATTATTGAACAAACCTAATTGTTGAGTGGGGTTGAAATCTCAAGAGCAAGTTCGTAGAGCATTTTGAGGGTATTAACATTGGTCTCAGACAACATTTGATACATAGATAGAACATTGTGCTCCCAATGCTATGGAAGTCTGGTCCTCCAACCCCCGCCACACACACACAATTCCTAGTCATTCGACCTCAGCAAGAGAGTTCATCTGTCCCTGGAGGGAGGGATTCAGGGCCATCAGCTGTGGATGCCATTGCCTGGTCAAGCCTGGTCAACATGGCTGCTGTCACTGTCTCATTAGATCCAAGAGGAATGGCTGGCCTGGAAAGGGATATTCCTCATTTCTGTCTGGTTTGTAGTAGTTTCTTCTTCCTCATAGAGATAGGCCTGTGAAATAATCGCAAGGGACTCAGATCCCTGGCAGGGTTATCTATACAAGAGGTTATTTTTTTTTAACCATAGGGAGAAAAGATAATGCACAAGTTAAGCTGGTAACAGTTGGATTGGCAGCAGTTGGGAATAGCCTGATATGAACGCTAAGGCTCTTAAGTGCTCAGATGTTTGGATTTTATGATGCATACTTTTCTTTTCTTCTTTGAACTATAGTAGTAAAGATGGAGATATTTTGGGTAAACCCCAGCACATGAATTTAGAGGCAACCTTTAGCTGATAACCCACTCATTCAGCAAAGGCACAAAGGCTAAAAATAACAGCAAGAAACACACAGTAACACAAGTAATTAGCATGAACTTTTCAAATGTGTGCTTGTACTTAATTCAATTCATTTACTTTGAAGAAAATACCCAAGGATTTTGCCAATATCAAGTTCTTAGATATGGTAGATATTTAACCAGAGTGAGAACTGAGCCCAGTCAAGTCAGTGCCACTGAGGGCAAATTAACTTGTCTGCAACCTCATCATTTTGGCAATGGATGGATTATTTAGTGTATCTGAACCGATAGTGAAAATGACTAATCTAGAACAGGTTCAAGGAAGTTGGAAAGTGCCAAGATGAAACAAACGTTGATTCAACTCACATTTCATTCATGACTCACTTTAAAATTTCCAGAATAGCAGTGAAAGGTAAACCAGGAAGTAAAATAAGACGATCTACAGAAGTAGTTTAGTCACAGGTACTGGGCACCCCATTGACATATTTGATTACTGTCGCTCATTCCTGGATTCTCTCTACTATTGTTCACACAGCTTAACATTGTTATTTAACTTTCACTATATTTCCTAGAATTAGGCAGCTTGTACGTGTTACAAAAGAACTGAGGGCTTTAACACTTGTAAGGATGCCCAATACACCATCACAAATAGTAAGTAAATTAAGACAAAAAATGATTTATTAACAACTTTGTTCTTCAATTTTCTCCTAGAGGAAGAAGGTATAAAACCATAAAACAAAACAACATCAAGAGCAACAGCAGCAGTTTCTAAAGGGACTCTAGCCAGCCTGAGCACAGCAAATGTGGCTCTGGCAGGCCTTGCCCTTATTGCTCATCTCCTCTGCCTTGTTAAAAACCGTTAGATTACATTTTCAAAGCTAGCCACCAAGGTCTATTACCTTATTTGGTTACTTCCTCCTTCTGAGGTCCAGCTATCAAAATAGCTGGAAGTCCAGTAATCAAAAGCCCCCTTTGGCTCACCTAACTAACAGGACCGATTAAAATTGAACACTTATCCTAACATGGGGTTTTCCCTTTTCCCTTTAGACATATTTCTATGAGCCATGCCTGTCTCTTCTCTATCCAGAGGCAGTCCTTTGCTCCCCACCCCGGGGACAAATACCTGTTTACCCCCTCCCTTGTTCCCTTCCCTTTACCCCTCATTCTCTATCTCTTGTCTTTTATTCCCTGCCTGTGTTTTTCTGGGGCAAATACATCTCCTTGTGCTGAGAACTTGGTCTTGGGGATCCTGAGCCAACCCCTTCATTTTCTCTTGCAAAGTTGTGAAAATTAACACTCCCATCAGACTAGGTGGTATATTTAGATTCCAAAACTCAGTATTAGGAAATTCCTAATTTCTGACAATATCTATTCAAGACTATAAGCTGGCTCTTTCTTCCAGCCTTTTTGACAGCTCTCTGTAGTAATAAGAGAAGTACGCTGCTCCACTAAGATTGTCCATTAGCCCCACTAAGTTTTGTAAGCTGTTCACCAAGGAAGGGAAGTTAGAGACCTCTGAGATAAACTGTTTCTGAGTCCAGAGGTTAACTAATTAGTAAGTTGTCAAATTGTGGTGCTGAGGACACCCATGGATGAGAGCATTTATCACAATGTTAACAATTATTTTTATTAAACTCATCATGAATTGTAAGTCTCCAAACAAGAGGTGATATCCTTATATTTTTAATTTTTTTTTGAGACAGGGTTTCTCAGTGTAGCTTTGTCTGTCCTAGACTTACTTTGTAGACCAGGCTGGCCTGGAACTCACAGAGATCTGCCTGCCTCTGCCTCCTTGGGTGCTCGGATTAAAGGTGTGCACCGCTGTTCTTATATAATGTAAGTTTGTACATAAAGCACCATGGACTGATGAGAAAGGATTGAGAATTCACTAACAAGTACTAGCTTGTCTTTGCCTCCTCATCCAATGGCAAAATCATAAAGTTATAGCACATACCATCCCACACAGTCATGAGTAAATAAATGTTTTGATAAAACATAAATATGGCCGGCTAGGTCAGGGAATGGAATGCTAGAAAAGGACAGAGCAGAAGAGAAACACAACAGGGGCTAGAGGCAGTGGTTGTACAAATGGGCACTTGGTAGAGATTTCCTTGGAGATATGGCATAGTTATACAGCACTGTTTTTTTATCCCTCTTAGACCTACCGATTCAAAACCTCTGGATAGAGTGTCCAGGGAGGATATGTCTGCCCCTGTAGATGCCACCAAAATTTGAATAGCACAGATAGAAAATATGCTGCAGAAGGCTCTTCTCTCTTTGAGGCTAGGAGACAGGGAGGCCAACATGAGTGATTCACTTTAAAATAATGGAGGCTGAATACCATACACATCATCACTCAGAAGACAGAGATCTGGAAAACATTCACATATACAAAAAACAACCAAGAAAAGAAGCTAGTCAACCATGTTGCGAGCCTCCTCTTGTACTGGAGGGGGTTGTGACAATCATGAAAGAATTGCAGAGATGGCTGTAACCCTCCAAGCAACAGTGTGCTTTCTTCTTAACGTAGGCTCTTCAGCATGCCTTGACAATTGGGAGTGCTTCATTTTCCGAGGACTCGGGGAAGTGCAGGTGCAGCCACGCGGAGATGAGAACAGAGGTGGAAAGTCACCAGCAGCAGGTAAGAGGCTGGAAGTGGTGTGCTCACTGGGAGAACACAGGGCTCGCCGTTTATGTGCCTTTAAACATGTTTGTAAGTGTACTATTGAAAGTGTAGCAAAGCTTTCACATTTAGTTAGAGTTATTTAATTTTAAAATGCGACAGGAAGAATGGAGATGGGTTACTTCAGCCCCACTATTCATAGAAGAACTCATAAGAGAAAGAATCGAATTTCAGAAGGGTTAAGGGGGTTCACCCAGGATCGATCACCTAACCTGGTATAAAATTCTGTCAGCATTGAGTCTAGGGAGTCTCCTTATTTATTTCTACAATGCTACTAGCTCAGACTCGAACCTTCTCAGAAGATGGTGGCAACAGGGCCATTCTATTACTGCAGCTGCTGGCTTCTAGCTGACTGGTAGTAAGGATGGTATTGTTTTGTTTGTTTGTTTTAATTTAGCGACATTTATTTATTTGTATGCTTGTGTGCATGCACACATATTACATGACTCAGATGGAAATCAGAGAACCGCTTTCGGGAGTTGGTTTTCTCCTTCTACTACATGGGTTCTTCAGACTCAGAGGCAGATACCTTACCACTTACTGAGTCGTCTTGAAGGTTCCAGTACGTGTAGTTTTAAAAAGAATCCTTTTCACTGACTTACTCGCTGACAAGCAGGGTAGCTCAGCTCTTCCCATCTGTGAGTAGATGACCAATAGTTTTCTTTTGGACATCAGCTTCCTCCCCCCACTGCCCTAACCTCTCTCAAGCTCACCAAGTGGACTTTCTTACTATGTCATAGGACAGTGATGATCTTCAAAATTTAGTGGTAAATTCTGATCTTCTTTTCCAGCAAGGTCAAGTATCTGGGTAAGTGGTTTAGTTCAGGTGTAACGCAGACAGTGGCAGGTGTTCCCTGGTTCATAATAGCAGAGAGAAAACCAAAACCCGTCTCTTCAGTGTTTGGATGACTCTATTGCTAACGTCCTTAGTTTACATTTCAACCATTTTTGTTTCTAACTAAGCAACTATAATTGTCACACCACCAAGTGTCACATGGAATACTTGCAGTGTGTGGAATTCGATGGCCTCACTTTGGAGCTATTGCCAGGTGGCCCTGTTTTAGACCTTGAAATAGTGTTGACATTAAAACTTCCATTGGCCAGTGGTCCACAATGGAAGATGGATCAAAATAATAAGTAAAGGCACATTCTGAAAGCCATCTATGCTGCTTTACTTTTGAGTTCCTAATGTGTGCTCAAGAATAAAGGGTTTGGGGTCTCCAAACAACTAAAGATAAAATTATAATCATAGGTATCTCAATATTCCACTGTGAGGAAATATTCATGAGCAGGGGTTAAAAATACTTTAGTTTGGAAAAGCACAGATAGTGTCTTTTTTTGGAAATAAATTAAATGTTTAAGAGGAAAAATATGTTCTCAGTCCACTTTGGGCAGACTGAATTCTGTCATATGTTAGAACAAAGAACATTCATGAAGCATACGTGTACTCTTTTTTTCATTTTCTTATATTTTTAATCCTCAAGCTCTTTTGAATTCTGGTGATTGACACTCAGTTTTAAAGAGGTTATTACTGGGGATGATATCATTCTTATAAGGAGATAGAAACCACTAGAAATTCCTTTTTAACTTAAGCATATTAAAGAATTACCCAACCCTGGGTCCCAGAGACTATTTATGAAATAAGATTTCTTCTGATCTTTTTCTTATAATATTTATCTTGGTAGAACAAGAGTTTAACTACTTACTACTCAAACACAGGCAAGCTGTTTTGAAGCTTTTTTTCTTTGAAGGGCCGTGCTGGAATGTCCCTGCCTTCCAAGGCATACATATTTCTAAATGCCATGCACATGACTAGTGAAATCCCAGGCTTTGTTCAGTGGCTTTCCAGATTTAACAGAACTGCGCTTTCAAGAAAGTCAGTTTCATGAGATAGAGTATATTAAATGTAAGCATGTTAAATGTAATAGAGTATATTAAAACTAGACTCAGGAAATTACCACGATAGGTAAATGCTGATGTTAATTAAAGAAAATGTAGGTAATGTCCCCTTTCTATTAATTTTGAAGTTAACATACAATGTAAAAGCTTCCATTGTGCTGTTTTGATGAGTAAATTCACATCTGCCTCTTTTGCCTGTTTTCTTCTTCTTAGTGTTCCTCATCTCAAGTGCTTCCCTTCTCTTACAGCCATGTTTTCATCTCATATGACTTTTGCCTCTGTCCTTTCTCCCATAAGATTTCTTCTCCTTTCATGGCTTTCTTTCCCATTTTCATATCTTACACACACACACACACACACACACACACACACACACACACACACACATTTAAATAATGTGATTTATATTTAAAAGAGCCAAAACATTTTACTTGAAAGCTATGTCATACCTTTCAATAAGGACAGAATTGGCGTGAAACCTGCTCTGCTGGTCATTTAGCTTCATAAAATTTTCAGCCTCTTAAATGTTAAAGTATTAATCATTCTTTCCTTCTTAATTTATAATAGATTGTGAATTAAATTTTATTTCTGGACTCTTTTTTTTTCAGCACTGATGTGAAATTCCAAGTTATACATGTGAATTATTTTGGTAGAACCATTTCTAAGAAATTAGAAATTATTTTATGCAATAAGAAATTTAAGTTAAAAGGGATAAAAATGTAATTAGATAATTTTATGAAAATCATTTATTCAGTCTAATAAGTAACACAACAATGGGTGAAAAGTTCTAATTATTCTTAGTGAACAAATTACACTCTCATTTATTTCTTACATGCAAAGTTACTTTAATTCATTTTGTTTGAACACAAATTATTTTATTTCCTACCATATTTCATTCCTACTATATTAAATTCACATGGTGATAACTTGTTGAGGTTTGGCCATGTACTCCTTGTTACAGAGCTCTGATCCAGTCAAGAAGGTATATCCATCTGCTTGACATTATAGAGAATGACCTGCAAGTAACTTTTATTCCCATGACATCTGTAATTTTTATTTATATCAATAAAAAATTACCTAAGTAATATAGTACAGTATAGCAAAAATTATGCTTACAAGTTAAGAAACATCCTCAGATCTAATATCTTAAATCTACTAGAATTTTTCTTTCAAGCTTTGACGGCCTAGTCATTTTTTAATATCTTATTCATTGTTCCAAAATAGTAGTATAACTCATGAAAAGGCGCAGGAGGTGATTTGATGGTCCTTGTTAAGTGCGTTGACAGGGACATGTGACCATCCTTTATAGGAAGGCAGAACATGGACACAGGATGTTAACGGAATGACTAACTTGTCAGAAGCCAGCTTCCTCAAAGTGTGTCAAGTGTGGAAAGATCCCAGGCTGTTGACTTTGCAGGATGAAGGTGGACCTTAAATAGTGAGAAGACATAAAGCAAAGCTGAGTGACTAAACAAATCCATCTTGTGTCCCAGTGTCCTCGCCACTCAGGTGAAGATGCTCTTGTACTGCAGAGAGGCATGAGGAGGCCAGACTGTGCAGAGCAGCGGTTGTTCTGTGTTAACACACACCATACTGCTCAAACGGAGAGAGACAGCAAGCGTCCTAATGTCAGGCTAATCAATGTCAGTATCATTTAGCAAGTGGTGGAAGAGTCTGTGTTTATATTTAAATAGCTTTACCGAGACAGAATGATATGACCTGACAAATTTGTATAACAACTGACAGTTATCTGACTTTCTAACTTGCATTTGGGAATTTCAAGATAGAATCAGCATATCACAAGCTGGTGCAGTCTCTTTCAGTTGGCTTTAGTGCTGGCAGCACGCCCACCCTTGGGCATCTGAGTGTCCTCATAGCTGGGTCAAGGTCAACTTTAGAACTAATGAATTGAAATCTTTTTTTTCCTGTAGAAAAATCTTGTCAGCTGGAAGGGTGGGCATGGCAGTGGGAGGCAGAAGCAGGCAGATCTCTATGGGTTCGAGGTTAGCCTGGTCTACAGAGCTGGTTCTAGGATAGCCAAGGTTACATAGAGAAACCCTGCCTCAAAAAACCAAAATCCAAAAACAAAACAACAACAAAATCTTGTCAGATGGAGAAAGAAATACTAGGAAAGCAAGCAACTAAAATAGACATCTTGGCCCATACATAAAGCATTTCCCATGGTCCCAATGACACCTTCTTCTGCTAATGCAATAGATGGTCCAGAACCATCCTCAGTTTTCACCATGCCTAAAAAATGCCAGTAAATAGATAATACAAGGAATTACAGAGAAGTCAAGACATCCATGTAACTCTCAGAGTTTTCACAGGCTCACAGGACGTGTCCAAGTATGTTCAAGCAAACCCACAAGCGTCTGAGAAATGTGCTTCTTTGGTGTCAGTTACTTGCATAATGTAATCTGGAAAACAGAATGTCCGTCTGTCATTGAAGCATCCTGCTTTACTGCTTCTCTAAATGGACATTGTTTCTCTTCTTTGCCTGCCTGGAATCTCACTGTGTAGTCCCTGTTTCTAATGGTTTGAAGAGAACGCATAAACAAAGCTATCTGTATATACTTTTCAATTGTTCACAATTTCCTTGATAGTGTCATCTTAGGCAAGACTTACTTCATGAGACACTTCTATCACGTCTAAGATTTATTGGCACTTATCGTTTTGAGCAAGTATCATGCTAGATTAGGCTAGGCCTTCAAATGTAAACAAAGGCTGGTTGTATACAGCAAGTATCATTGTGGCTTCTCAATTTCACTCACTTCCAGTAAACTGACACTCTTACTCTCCCCAGATGTGTCTCCCAACCAGTAACTGTGGCCTAGTTTTCCATCTGTGGGATTTATGGGTCCCAAAAGCCCCAGGCCAGCATCCCCAGGCCCGCATCCACGGGAGCATGTAGTGAGTAAGACTTCCTCTTCCAACATATGAGTTTCTGTATAGGAGTTTCTTTTGGTAGAAGTGATGTACGTCTCTGAAACAAGAGGGTCTCCTTTACCTAACTTCCAGTTTTCACTGTTCTCATGGCTCATGTCCATGACAATTGTTCTTGGGACCTGAACTCATGGGACATACAGATATAAATAAATTAAACAGAAGATACCAAACTGAGCTTTAATTTCCTGAAGAAAACATATTTTACATGGGCCATTCTCAATTATCAAATATGATATCACCCAAAGTACATTTTAACATACAAAATAAACAAAGTTATTATTGTCAAAACAAACAATTATGACAAACAAATATGTCAAAACAAACAGTTATAAACTGGTATTGAATTACCATAAATATTACTATGTACATACAAAATAGTTTTAAACTTTTCCAGTTAAAAAAGAATTTTCTTTGAACACCCAAGTAGCTCACTAAAGTTCTTATTTGTACCTGTGTCTGCCAGGACAGTTGAATAATTATTTGTAAATAGAACTGATTTGGACCATCAACCTTAATGAGTCAGAACCAGAGCACCCTTGCTGTTGTTCTGAATAGCAATATTTCCTGCCCTGTGATCAACATGTTTGGTTCTACTCTGCTTTACCAGTATGGGAGGAGCCCTCATGCAGGTGGAATGGTCATACATTTTCAGCATCTAGAAATAAACAAATAACTTTCCCTGCCCTTAGGTTTTATGAAAAATGTAATCATTCCCTAACCCTGATACTTTAAAACAGGGTTTTCCTATTAAAGCACTTAGAGAAATACATTTTTCCAGTTGCCTGGAACACTGGTTATTTTTGTGTGAGAGTATAACTCAAACTTTTCTCCTGTGGGAGCATATGGGATTTGTTGGGTGGCAGAAGGACACTGGAACTTACTGAGGTCTCTTTTTGGACCTGCTTCTTTCCTTGATGTGGCCAGTCACTGGTCGCAGCTACACTCTCTTTGTTACCTGCTCTTCTGCTCTTCAGTCTCCACCAGAGACACTTCCAGGGCTCTACAACCATAGCCATCACTCCTTAAAACTTTTCTCTCAGGGATAGGGAAGTAAATTAAGCTTGTGGGAAACATAAGGAAAAAGAGTTAGGCCTACCGTTTGGAAAACTGGATAATCTTGGGAAATGCAAGGTAAGGGAATAAGTCAACTTTATGTAAGAATAGAGATGGTTGGCTGCTTCTGTCAATCTTCGTTAACAGGAGGAAGGAAGAAATCCATGTCCTGTGGTGTAGCAACCTTTCCTGTCAGTTAGAAGAGGCAAGGAATTTCAGATCACAGAGTTATCACCAAAGAAGGCCAACATTTGATGAAGGCAATGTAAAGGCTTACATTTCAAACAGAATTCTGTCGAATGAAATCAGTGTAACACAACCTTGAGGTAAATTTTAGAAGAATAATTCATCTTTCTTTACACCTAAGCTTGAATGAAATCACAGCTAATAATGTTGATAAGATTACACATCATTACCTGCTTTTGGCAGTTCTCCTGGAATATAAGGCCAGGGCGCACATGCACTATGTGTTACTTGAGTCATCTGAAAATAAATGAGAAGATAAAGAAGCAGAGCTGATCTCATTTCCTCTTGTAGCTTTTTCATGGGCCAGAGGAGCTAAGAGCTTAGGTGTCCAAGGGGTGAGATGAGTGAGCTGCAGCAAAGGCAGACTTTCTAAATAACTAAATAATCTATGACATATGAGCTTTGCTGCTCCTTGTATTTGCTGTTCACTATAATTTGCTCTTGTGGCAACCTTGCAAATTTTTCTTGTTGGCTAATTTTCTTTGCATTGTATTTAGGGGGGAGTTAAATAATTCAGTTTAAGTCCTGTATTATCTGTGGTGGAACGGGAAAAGGAAGCATGGTGAGTGTGGGCAGAAAGCTGGACCAACCCTATAGAACAGAAGAGCTGGCAAACTTTCATTCTAAGAGTTTAAGTAGAAGAATTAGAATTCTGGCTTAGAACTTTTCTTGGCAATTTAGGACAATAAGTGTCTTAGGACTAATCTGTAATTTGTGATTACACAAAATGACCAGAAACAAATGGGGGGGGGGTTATTCAGCTTCTGTGTCTTGAATCATAGTTCTTTGAGGGAAGCCAAGGCAGGAACTCCAAGTGGACAGGACCATGGAGACAGGAACTGATGCAGAGACTATGAAGTGGTGCTGGTTAATCATTTGCTCCCTATAGCTTGTTCAACGTTCTTTCTTATAGAACTCAGGACCACCAGCCTGGGCTGGCACCACCCACAATGGGTTAATTAACCCACAATGGGTTAATTAAAATGCCCTGCAGGCCTGCTTATCGCCAGATCCTGTGCAAGCATTTTTCTCAATTGAGCTTTCCTCCTCCTAGATAACTATGGATTGTGTCAAGAAGATATAAAACTAACCAACATGATAAAGTATCATTTATTCAGTGCAGCTGCCTTGTTACCTGATAACCAACATATGAATGTAAACTTGGGAGGACACTGACTGAACCGACTTGGGGAGGAGAGGGTTTATGTGGCTCACACATCTGCATCACAGTTCATCACTGAAGGAAGCCACAGGAGGAGCACAAGCAGGAACCTGGAGGCAGAAACTAAAGCCAAGACAATGAAGAAATGGTTCTTGTCCCCCATGGCCGCCACAGCCTGCTTTCTTATATCCCAGGACCATCTGCCCAGGCTTGGCACCACCCACAGTAAGCTAGGCTCTCCCACACCAATTGTTAATCAAGAAAATGCCCCACAGATATGCTCACATGTCAGTCTGATGGAAGCGATGCCTCAGCTGAGGTTTCCTCTTCCCCTGTGATTCTACTTTATGTCAAGTTAACAGAAATGCCAAGAAAAGAGAGAGGTTGGAGGGAGGGAGGGAGGGAGGAGAAAAGAAGAGAAAGAAGGAAAGGAAGAAATGGGGAGAAAGGAAAGATACAGAAAATGTATAATTCCCAAGTCCCAGGAATTCTAGATAGGCATATGCAGAGGGCCTGAGGTAAGGTGAGATGAGGAAAACTCGCAAAAGGTTTGTTTCAAAATGATTTATTTGTACATTGGCTGCTTAATAAAATCCACAGAGTTTAATTATATCTTAATGTGCTGCTACCTTTGTTGAAGTCTATGTTTTTATAACAGGGCTTTATTTTCCCCACAGCCAGACTATCAGTGGAATGCTCTCAACCAGCTTCCTCCCCATGCACAGCACAAGGCACATGGTAAGACCACAGCTTTAACAGACATTCTTTCACATTTACATACAAATGGGATCTTTGGGGAAATGCCTCCTCAACACCCATCTGTGCTAGGGAAGAACTCACAGTGAAGTCGCGCTGCACACGTGACTCTCGTCTGTGGTGTGGAGTGAGCTCCTTTAGACAATGTTGAGATGCCGAAACGTGTGCCTCAGCTCTATGTTCTGCTCCTATTCCAGGCTCAGGGTCGGAGACTTAGAGAGAGTGACAGCTACCGCACTCTGATTCTACCCCTGAACAACAAGTGCAAACCCACAATCCAGGAGGCTCCACGGCAGACTTTTCTTTTTCTTTTTTCCTTTTTGAGACATGGTCTTATGCAGACCAATAGCTTCAAACTAACTATGTAGCTAAGGATGAGCCTTAACTCGTGGTCCTGCTGTGATGTCCTAAGAGCCAGAGTTACAGGTGTGCATAACCAAGCCTAGCAAAACAGATGTTTCGAATGTCATTGGCAGACAAAGGAACTGCAAAGCTCAGAACTGCTTTCCCTTGGGACTCTAAGGAAACAGTTCTGTTAGTCCAGAGCTGTTTACAGCAACCCCCTCACACCGTGCTGGAAAAATACTAAATGCCATCTGCAAAATACTCCAAAGTGCCTGCAAATCTCATTTTCCTTGGGTTTACTATTATCTCTGCTTCTTTCTCAAAGTAGCCTTACTTTCTGCTGGCTTGCACAGTACTTTGAGGCTGACCAGGAATAGATATTACGAATTGTTATAAGCAAAATCCTTTTATTCTCATCCATTTAAGACCTTCCATTACACACATTGTGACTGTACCTTGTTCATTTCCAGACATGTGGATTTTTCTAGAAACCTCAAGCTAAGCTCTGTAGTTTCAACTTTTACTTGAAATGTCATCTGAGATAATGAATTTTGTTTTGAACATGTTTCACCCCTCCAGCTCTGCCACCTGCAGTGCACATAGCCTCTGTCTTGGCCCAGCATCAGTCCATTTCATGGGTCTCCATTGTAAATATTACAAGTTCTTGGCATCTCAAATATCCTGGAGTTTCTGCTTCAACCTAGGCCTCCCACAGTGGTCTCTGAAGACCTCCTGGCAGAGAGATGGGTCCTGCCACACATTGCCTGGCCTCAGCTGCCCTCTGAAACCACTGGCTGGAGCAGGACACTTGCAACCTTGTCTTTCATGCCCCTAGCCCAACACCATGTAGATGACACTGCCATCATTAGATAGACTTGCAATGCTTGGACCACACTTATGTCAGCTTCTGTGTGCTGACCTTGGGAAAACTCTCTCCTAAGCTCCTGTTTTTGAGGAACAGGGAACTCCCTCAGCTACTTTCTCAGTTCGGGCTTTCTCCTTCAATTAATATTGTAGTAAATTCTAAAAAAAAGTGAGTGTTCAGCTATATAATGTTTGTTATTAGCCCTAAGATTATCACGGGGGCATTATCTAACCCGCTACACAAATAATAAGACACAGACACCTGTTATATTTTATAATTGCTTTATTTACCTTGGGCCTGGCAAATATTCCTACCTATGCTGTCTAAATCACCTCACTATCCATCTCCTAATCCCGTCCAATGCCATCCTCCTTAACCATCCTATCTTCCATCCATAATCTTATAAATACTTGCTTTTATTCTTCATCTGAGCCTTTTCATGTCAATATTGGGATCCTTTCTCCAGGATCCACATGGTTGTTTTTTTGTTTTTTTTTCCAGGATAAACCATCTTGGTGTCCTCCTCCCTCCTTTCTTCTCATCAGTCTGGTTCTTCCCATGATTCCTCCTGGGATTCTCCAAAGCCAGGAAACCTTAGCCACGCCTACCCCATTCTGCCCTCCCAGATATAGGTTGTTTAATTAGCCAATCAGGCACAACAACTTAGGCAGGTTTACACAGAGGGTAAGTAATTAGCTTCAGAACAACTGACAACATATGTACATTTTCATTTTTTTTTATAAATTGGAACCTTTAATGAGCAGGTTTTATCTTAAAGTCACTGTTCAAGTGCGGAGTGCCATCTTTCTCTTCAGTGGAGATTGTTCTCTTGAACAATTGTGGGTGCTTTGTTGTCGGCACTGTTGGTGTGAAATTGTAAGCTTGTTCATAATCCCTTCCTCCACTAAGCAAATTAGCCGATTGTCTTTAAATTCAGCTTCACTCAGGGTCTCCGGACACAGATAGACTGCAGTCAGATTCTTTATCAAAACATCGCGTGGAAGCCCCCTACTTCTTTGGGACTTCATGAGCCAGGCCTACATTGTCCTTATTTTTCTTAGCATTTTTGTCTCCCAAAATCCCAGCAAAATGGCCATTAAGTTCTCTTTCCAGAATTCTAGGGCTTTTGTAATTGAAAGCACCAAACTATGGTATGTTTCAGTGATAACCTAGCTCCAAACATGACAGAGCTACATTATTATGTCTATACAGCCATCACCCCACTTCTCTTTCAGGTACTGATTTCTCTCTTAGTTTCTCCTCTGTTGTGATAAAATGCTCTGACAAAAGAAAATTAAGCGGAAGGGCTTATTTGAGCTCACAGTTTGAGGTTATACTGTACAATCACAGAGAAGTCACGGTAGCAGGATTACGGGACAGGTTCTCACGTTGCATTCACAGTCAATAAGTGGAGACAGAAATGAGACATGCTGCCCCTCGTGTTCCCTTTCTGAACAGGAGCCCAGCCAGGAAATGGCGTCACCACAGTGGGCAGTTCTTCCAACCTCAATTTATACAATCAAAAGCGTTTCCACAGGCATACCTAGAGGCTCATCTCTTAGGCGATCCAAGAGTTTGTCAGTTTGACAATTAACGTGGAGCAGTAAAGGCCATAGATTACATTAGTATCATAAAGAAACATAAAAAAATGAAAATTCTATAATAAAACGTCCATATTTTTCTGAAAATATTTTTTCACACACCTACTAGACTTTCATTTTGCTTTGCTCTCTACTACACAAAGACTACAAATATAATCAATAAGATTTTGGGTTCCCTCCATAACGAAGAAATTTATTAGAAAGGCCTGTTGGTAACCAGGACCATTCCATTGAATTGTGACATGGAATAACTTTCCACTTTCTATTGGTCTGCAATGAAAATAAGATATTATTTCCATGTGCTACACTTTTAGTCACTAGAAAATACAATTACTCTAGAGAAGTCACTAATCAGTAATGTACACATCATTACCAAAGACCTCCTAAGCCAAAGTTAGAGAAGATAATAATCACATAAAATATGAATTAATTAGAATGATATTCCCAACTTAAATAATAAAATATTTAAAATGAAACTTATGCATCATATAAGATCTACTGACATACCTGCCTAAGAAAATATAACAAGCTTTGTGATACATAAACTTGTAACGTAACAGTGTCTACAAGGATAACATTACAATCAAGAAAAATACCTGTAATGTACCAACTCAAGTAGTTTTATAGCATCGTTTCTCTTAAGCAATACTATAACATAGATTTGTTTTATGCTGGCTCATATGTGAGGTAACTGAGGCTTGGAGAGTTTTAGTAATATTTAAATTTCACAGTGCAATTTAACACTAAATTTAGATTCTTTTATACGTAGGATTGCAAACCTCGGGTTTTCAATTTCTTTTTTTTTTATTAATTACACTTTATTCACCTTGTATCCCCCCCATAAGCCCCTCCCTCTTCCCCTCCTAATCCCACCCTCCCTCCCCCTTCTTTACACATGCCCCTCCCCAAGTCCACTGATAGGGGATGTCCTCCTTTCCTTCCTTCTGATCTTAGTCTATCAGATCTTATCAGGAGTGGCTTCATTGTCATCTTCTGTGGCCTGGTAAGGCTGTTCCCCCTCAGGGGGAGGTGATCAAAGAGCAGGCCAATCAGATTATGTCAGAGGCAGTCCCTCTTCCCATTACTATGTAACACACTTGGACACTAAACTGCCATGGGCTACATCTGTGCAAGGCTTCTAGGTTATCTCCATGTATGGTACTAGGAACCTGCCACAGAGGGCCTCTGAAAGGCTCTGCCCTGCAGACTATCAAAGCAGACACTGAGACTTATGGCCAACTGTTGGGCAGTGTGCATGGAATCTTATGTAAGAAGTGGGAAATAGTAAGATCTGGAGAGGACAGGAACTCCACAAGGAGAGCAACAGAACCAGAACATTTGAACACAAGGGTCTTCCCAGAGACTCATACTCGAATCAAGTACCATGCATGGGTTTTCCATTTCAATCAACAGCCTACTTCTATCACTATATTAAAATGTTAAAAAATGAGTATGTGGGCTTTAATTTGGATAATTATCTAAGCACTTAGTTCTCAATAATTTCATCTTCCTATAAGCTCCCAGCATGCATTATGGCTTTTTCTAATTTTTTATTAGAATTAAAAGTAATAGACATTCTATAAACAACACTGTTGCTCCAAAGGAGGGGATAAAAACCATTTTTAAAAATTAATTTAATTTTTTTTATTATTAGTTACATTTTATTAACTCTGTATCCCAGCTGTATCCTGCTCCCTTATTCCCTCCCAATCCCACCCTCCCTCTATCATCTCCTCCCTGCCCCTTTCCAAGTCCACTGATTCGGGAGGATCTCCTCCCCTTTCATCTGACCCTGTTTTATCAGGTATCTCCAAGACTGGCTGCAAAGTCCTCCTCTGTGGCCTAGCAGGACTGTTCTTCCCTTGGGGGGTTGGGGAGGTCAAAGAACCTGCCATTGAGTTCCTGTCAGAAATAGTCTCTGTTTCCCTTACTATGGGAAACCAATTGGTTACTGAGCTACCACGGGCTACATCCGAGCAGAGGTTCTAGGTTATATCCATACATAGTCCTTGGTGGAGTGTCAGTCTCAGAGAAGACCCCTGTGCCCAGATATATTTGGTCCTTGTGGAGCTCCTATCCTATCCTTTCCAGGTCATACTAACTTCCCTTCTTTCATATGATTCCCTGCACTCTGCTCAAGGTTTGGTTATGAGTGTTAGTGTCTGCTTTGA